AGCAATTCTCTCTTGCAGGTGTTTTTACAAGGCTTGAAGTGTGTGTGTGTGTGTGTTTTCTTCACCTTTTGCATATTTATTTTCTGATAACAGGTAGGCTATTTGTTTGGAAAATCTCAAGGGACTATATTACAGATTCACATCTGGAGAATTCTATGAGGAAAATAAATACTGTCTTCAAATTTCCAGAAGCAATTAGCTACTCTTGAACTCTAAGACCTCTTCAGGGGGTCATCCAGCCCAGCTCTATGCAGGCAGTAGACATGCGTGGTCAGTCCCTCCTTCCATCACTGATCTGACAGAGGTGTTTACCACTATTGAAAGCAGAAAAGAATGCCGAGCAAGTCCCTAATTCAAATTTTGCCAACACTTGAGTTCGGGATGTAATTCACCATTACTTACTATCTGTCAGCCACACGCAGAGCTGAAAATGGAAAAACGGTCTCAGGAGCCAAAGGTCTGGTTCTCCGAGGAAGGCAGGCTGCAGAAGCTGCATCCAGGGGCGTTCTCTGCTGATGGAGGCAGGGAAGTCAAAAGGGAGAGGTAGGCAGAGCAGGACCAGATGGAGCTGCGCAAGGGCAGGGCTTTTGGAGGGACTCCCAGATGAGGTGAGGGGCCAGAGAGCTCGAGAGCCATGGCAGGGAGATGCACAGGTTCTTCTCTTAGAGGTTATTCTGCGTCTAGGAGCTTATTAGCTAACGACAGACACACTGGCTAACCCGTTACTTAACTTTTGAATCTTTAGTCAAACCAAAGCAGGCCTTTTAACTCTTGCTGTAAAATCAGACAGTAGGCCAAGTCCAGGGGAAGCAGCTGTGATTGGTAGGTAGAGTGGCTTCTTCTCCGAGGCTCTCTGGCCTGTTTTGCTTTGGAGGAGAAGTGTGGCCATGCATTATGCATGCCAGTGATGTAATGGGAGGGAAATTAAAAACACACTTAATAGCCGACCCAAATGCTCCCCCCGCTGGCTCCATATGTGTGTTCTGGACGCCTTTGAATAGGACAACACATTTCCCCACTGAGTTTTCTGTATTCAACCTTAGGGCTCCAAGGGTGCTTTGTGGTAAGATAAAAATGTAAGAAGAATCAGGGAGGCAAATGACCAAAGGTACTCTAAGGAGACACCATGAGCTTGCAGGGCCCTTGTTTTACAGTCTCCTTTCCCCAATAGTTGATTGTACATGAGAATCACACACCTCCTAATTTTTTATTTAGAAGCCTTAAACGGTGGCAGATGCTGATGTCGAGCTCTGTAAAACATGGAGCTCTAGATCTTGTGGATGCCACTGTTCAGATGAGTCCTGGATAAATCTCTCATGAGCTTAAGTTTTCCACTTTGTGAAATAGAAGGGCCAGGCTACGCCAAGTCTTCTGGGCTTCTCTGTGCATATTAGCGCTTGGCTTTGCATATTTAGGACTGTGCACCGTTGTTTGGTTTACAGACTTGAGAGTTTTATTAACTGTTAACATGTTGACAACTCTCGTGTTTGTTGTTTTCCGGAGACGTCAGTGAGAGTGACTTCCTTTAAGGTCCTGACATCCCACCCTGTGTGCCCTCCCTCCACCCTGACCATGGTGCTGAGGACAGAGCTGAGTTTTAACAATCAAAGTGTTCTAGGGATGCAATGCCATCCCTGGTTGATTGATAATAACTCCTGCAGCACTGTAAGAGCTTGCTGAGTATTGGTGGACACACAGTGAGAAGATTAACAAATGGATAAGTTAGATTTGTGCGTCTTCTATGAAACACAAACCCATTAAAGAATCCCGAGTTGCAGTCTAGAATCCACCTCTTAGCTACATGACCTCTTCCCTCCCGTGGACCCATTCACCTGCTCTGCAGATATCTCTAGCAATGATTTAATGCTAGACTGTGGTCTAAATGCTAAGAGTTTGCAGAAGGAAGCAAGCTCCCGATTTGAGCACCACTCATGCTACCGAACGACACAGGCAACAACAGCTGCAAAAGCCAATGGGTAGGGTGATGTCAGGGGCAGGATGTTCTTCATGTAACATGTCAGACACGCTAAGCAGAAAGCGTGGCTTCTTTCGTGGTCAGGGAGGTCCTCTATGACTAGATTGACATTTAATTTGCAGTCCTTTTAACAAGCCAACTTTTGACTGAGAAATGAAAATGGGTACTGTAGAAATACCTAGGGAGAAGAGTGTACTCACCAGGGGAATAGCAAGCACAAAGGCCCCGAAGACAGTCTCATTTATATTTCCAGGGGCATCAGGATGTCATTCTGTGACTTTTTGGCTGGAAGGCAACATGTTCGGATATAGCTTTTAAAATGGTGAACTGGGGATAAAAATACAGTCAATAGCAGAGGCTGGGAGATGGTTCAGCAGTTAAGAGCCCTTGAATACTCTTCCGGAGGTCCTGAGTTCAATTTCCGGCAACCGCATGGTGGCTTACAACCATCTGTAGTGGGATCCGAATCCCTTGTGTTGTGCACGAAGATAGAGCACTCACACACATAAAATGCATGAGTAAATAAATCTTCTTAAAAAACATGCCCTCCAGTGCAAGAGCAATTCCAGTGTGGCGCTCCATACCTATTGTGACCGTATACAAACAAGTCCCTTGGGATGACAGGCTTTGATCTGGTTAATTTTAGCGTGTGATTTTTTTTATTTGCAAATTCCTTATGAAGAAGGTTTAATAGAAAAGCCACTCACTTAGTCAGAGGTATGATTGCTGCAATAAAACACCGTGATCAGAAGCAACTTGGGGAGAAATGGGTTTATTTAATCTTGTGCTTTGTAGCTATTTTCTCAGGAAGGCGGGTGAGGCAGGAACTTGGAAGCAGGAGCGGATGCGGAGGCCACGGAGGGGTGCGGCTTAACTGGCTTGCTCAGTGGGCTTTCTTATAGCAGGGCCTAGGAGTAACACACAACCCACAGTCAATCGTCAATCAAGAAATGCCCCACAGACTCGCCTACAGGCCAATCTTACGGAGGCATTTTTCTCAATTAAAAGTCCATCTTCTGAAATAGGTTTACGGTTTGGGGTCAAGCTGACCAAACCAAGCAGAACAGCCACTTTGTGGAGCTGCTATAAAGTCTGAGGGCTGGGGATCTCTTGGTACCTAGAATGGTGCTAAGCATCCTATAACACATAGGATAACCTCCTCAAACAAAGAATGGTACAGTCTAAAGTGTCGACGGTGCTGGAATTTCCATTGCTTCTAAGGAATGGGGAGTAATACCTGCTGCATAGAGGTCATGCTCAAAAAGTACCCCAGATGGTGACAAAAAACAGAAGATCCTAAAACAAAGGCATGTGGTACAGCATAAGGAGGTATATTGGTAGGCATTGCAGATGTGCTGTTGGTGGCATGGACCATAGTTTTTACCTCTTTGGCATCTGGATCTGGAAAGAGGCTTTGCTTCTGGAGGTGAAGCTCCATGGCTTGGAAGTGGCCAGTCCTTTGGGTGCAGCTCAGGTATGCCGAGCATGGGACCACGCAACCTCAGGGTCGTCCCTGCATTAGAAAGCAAACAAAAACCTCCAGAAGCAAAGGACATCTCAACCCTTGTATAAAAATAGAGCAAGCTGTCTTGGGCTAGACATTATAATTATTTTCTGCCCTGTTTCGGGAGTGTTTAAATTCTCCTTCTCAACACCTCCAGTGCCCTAGCACCACGGACGCAGGACAGTGCTAATTTGATTCAATTCTTATTACGTGTTGCTAGCTTCTCGCTTTTCTATTAGAGCAGAGTGTGATTTCAGCCCCTTGCAATAGCACTGTGATTTTTTTTTTAGTTGTGCAGATTTTTTTTTTGTCTAGGTTGTTTTTCCAAACCCAGCAGAAGCAACTGTAGATTTTATTATTACTTCCTTGAGACTTTTGTACAAGGTGTTCTAATCACATTCACTCCTTCAGCAGCCCCCACCACCAGATTCTCTCTCTAAACCCACCCATCTGTGCCCTTTTTTTCGTACAAACAATACATACACATGTGTACACATATGCACATACTGGTATGCATTTAGGACGTTACTAAAGACATGCTGACACTGCACTTTTGATAGATTGGTAAGTATGTATTTTTATTCTTGGTCTCTTTTTTATTCTTTACCAAGCATTGACACCTAGTGGGTTTTTAGCAAATGCCATTAAAAAAGATTTGTTTGCGCATTTATTATTGTGCTGTGTTTTGTATGTGCGTGGGTGTGCTTGCTCATGTATGAAGGCAAGAAGTTGATGTTGGACATTTTCCTGTACTATTGTCCATCTTGGCTTTTGAGATAGGGTCTCTCATTGACTCTGAAGCTCACCCTTTTCCTAGATTGGTTGGCCAGTGAGATCCTGGGGTCTGACTGTCTCCCCTAGTGTCGGGGTTACAGGCGTGTGCTACCGTGCCCAGCTTTTATATGAATGTTGTGGACCCAAAGTCAGGCCATTGTGTTTGTTCAGGAAGCTCTTTATCCTCTGAGTCACCGTCTCACCTTAATAAATGTCTTCAGAATGAATAAACAGATTAAGAAATAGGTTTGCAGTGACTAGATTCCAACTTATTTTTCCATATCTTCCTGAAATCATTTTATGCCACTGAAACACAATTTGGTAGTGCAAGTTCCATATTCTTGTGGAGCATCACTAAGGTGTGCTCATTAATTAATAATTTTAAAATTGGTACAGGAGATATGATTTGATCCCTAAAGTGTCTGAATACAGGAATCACTGGACTCCTTGTGGTTTAATTTCCCTATAGTCTTTCAACTTAGGGTAAGATTATTAAAATACTAATCATAAAATTGTGCAAAAAATCATGTTGAAATTAAATAAAATTATATTGAAGTATATAAACTTAGGGCAAGGTTATTCATCAAGAAAATGGATTACAATAAATACTCCTGATTTAAATTTATTTTAAAATTCAAGGCAATTATGTACAGTGCAACATTTTATTTTGGGTGCCATTTTATTCTGTGAAGGAACTCGTTGGCCAGTTCACTGAACATGGGTCCATTTATCTTTTTTTTTTTCTAGTGTTATTTCTTCACAATCGAGTTTGGTCTTTGCAAGCAAGAAGGTCAACTGCGGGCATATGGAGCAGGGCTACTTTCCTCCATCGGAGAACTGAAGGTACGAAGCTGTGAATGAAAATATCCTTCCCAAGCACACTGGTTCAAGGTCATGGAAGCTATTGATTTGTTTGTCTGAACGCTTCCACTCGCAACTCCCCATACATATTTAACACAGAGGATCTGGCACCTCGGCTGTGGGTGCTGACCTGACTTTTTGCACCTCGGAAAATGGGTCAGGCCCTTCTGGGTTTGTGGTGTGACTCAAATGGATGAGCAGCCTTGTGCCCAGATCACCAGGCATGACTAACATATGCTCGAATGCGGGGGAACAAATGGCTGGCCTAGACTGAGTGCTGAGAAGTGGGCAGTGAGCTAGCAGGGATACTTCTGATTGACACTCGTGTGGGAGTCTGACTTGTCTTCTCTGGTGTCCGTGTCCTTCGTGGCTCCATGGACTTGCCTTCTACCTCTCAAAGAGGAGTTTGAGGATATTCCATCTTCTCTGAAATTAATGCAATTAAAATACTGTGCATATCAACACTTTACTAGAAAACAAGCTGACGCGCACAGTATCAAAGAAGCACATAATCTATATTTATGATGCTTAGAAATTATTATTTTTTTCTTAAACAGTAAAATGATCATTTATTTGGAAATGGCAGGCTCTGGAACACTCCGATACTTCTAGCATTTTAGGAAGTTTGGATGCATTTAGGAGGCAGTATGACATGCAACCTGGAAATTATACTGGAAATAACTTAATCTTTCTTTGATTATTCAGTCTTAAGATCAGGATTATAGACTAGCTTAGGGTGTTCTCTTCAGCATTGATCGTTGTTGTATAATACAGTTGGGAAATGCATTGTTACCGGCATGTTTTGCTTATTTGTATTCTCAAAAGATGCAATCTCACTATCCTTTTTATTGAGTCTGCTAGTTTTATAACTTCATTAATTAGATAATTTATTCATTCCTTCACTGGCTGCTTACAGGTAGCCCGCAGTGTGCCAGACACTGGGAATCAAAAGATAGACACCGATGAAGAACATAAATCCAAAGAAAATAACACCGGAAGCTATCAGATTCTTAAAGAGAGTCTAGGGTTTTTGGTATCTGCTAACTCAGTCTCTAAGAACGCGATCGTATTGTTAGAGATGAGACAGCTGAGGACAGAAGGCCATTACAGGACTTGTCTACACTGCACTCATGGGCTAGAGCCAGGCCCAAGTGCAGGCAGTGTAGACTGTAGGATCGCTGCTCTAGATTTCACAACCTGAGGCTCTTCTTAACCAGGACTTGACACCCACTGCCGGATAAACAACCCAGCAGACAGTAGAGAAAGTGTGAACAGCTGTGCCTGGCACAGGATTGGCCAGGCTTGAGAAGGCTTTCCGAGGGAGGATCCTGTTGCTCATACTGAGTCTCGAGGAATCTGGAAGTACATTAGGAAAGCATAAGATGCACAGATGTGCAACGGACCAAGGGAGTGCGTACCACCTGGGCTTCAGTCAAAGTCCTGTGTGCGCGCCCACATTTGCACGTGCATGTGCACGCATGTGTATGTGTGTCAACTCACAGTACATGTGTAGTCAGGAAACAACTTTGTGGAGTTGGTTCTCTCCTCCCACCATGTGGTTCTGAGGATTAAACTCAGGCTGGCAGGGTCACATAGCAAGCCCCTTTATCTGCTGAACCATTTGGTGCTTTATAAAAACATCACTAATAATACATTCAGCATCAATCTTGGTGCAGTGGCTGAAGCTCACAGCCAAAACAGGACATCGTACTCTACAAGACCATGCCCTCTAAGACTGCTTCTTGGTTCCCCTGAGAAAGTCGGGGAAACAAAACTCCCTGAGCCACATCTATTTACATTCTCTTCAGATGGTATATAAATTATTCAAGAAACAAAAGCAACAAATCTCTTCCATGCCCCCCAACTTTTGACAGGGTCTCCTGGTCTGGTTAATGAGGCCTGTGTAGGCAGCATTGGGGCGAATCCATTGTTTTTGTTTTCAGTGTTGTAGACAGAATCATCTACAAATGAAATGGAAATCAGAGAGAAATATGTACCGCAAAGGGCATTGTCTGCCATGCACACTCCTGTTCAGGTCCATCACCTCCGGTCATTAGCATTCTTCCATTCTCAGATTTCAGCAGGCCAGCATCCTCGAGACTGTCGTTCTGAAGCCTTTTTACAATTTAGATGTTCTTTTCGCAAGAAGTACCTTCTAACTGTTCAGAGAATACAGAACAGAGGCGTCTTCCTTAGCAGCCCCTTTCTTCCTGCCTGTCTCATTCCTGTAAGAGCCCAGAATATTTCCCAGCTCATTTAAATACTTAATTATGTGTGTGTGTGTGTTTGTATGTGTGTATATGTGTGTGCACACGAGTACAGGTGTTCATAGAAGCCAGAAGAGGGTATTGGACCCCCAGGTGATTGTGGGCTGTTCTGCCATTCTCTGGAGGAGCAGCAAGCACTCTGAGCCACCGATCTGTCTCTCCAGTTCCCTGAGCATCTTACTTTTGTATTTGAGGAAAGATACTATGGTTCGAGACCCAATGTAGCCATAACTTTATTAATAGCATTATCGTAATCCTTGTATAAATATCCTTACCGTTTTCCATGAATTGCTCTATTGTAGTAAAATATTTTCTACTGCTCTAACTGGTCCCTAAGTTTCTGGAGACTTTGGTATAGTCTTCATCACTTTTATATAAGTACACACAATCCACCTTCTGTCTTGGAACACAAAACTTCTAAGATGCCTGCTGTAATTTTCCCGAGGGCGTAGACGTTGCTCTTCAGAGCTGGCCAAGTGTTTCCATGAGTGGTGTCTGTAGTTTGGAGGAGGATTTTCATTTTTTGTTCTCCTTCACAAGAAAAGCACTTGATATTACTTTCAGAGACAGAAACAAAGCAAACATGGAAAAATCTTATAAAAGTTAGCATAAATTTGATAGAAAACTACCCGCACCGTGACTGGTTGGAGCCCCCAAAGCCTGGGAAGGTGGGGCTTTTCTCCATTTCTCATCACTGCAGAGCATGGTTAACCATGAGCTGAGCCATCTGGAAAATCAGCTTTGGAAAGCAGGCTGACAAAAGGATGGCTGGTTCCTTTTTACCTGCGATCTAGCATGTGTCTTTCACGTCAGACCTTGTCTCCCTGCCTTGCAGTTGACCTAACGGTATAATCTATTATTTGTTCATTTACCACGCCCTTGCCTTATTCATTTTCTTTGGTAAGCCCCAAACTGTGAGACAGAGTTCAAACTGTGAGACAGAGTCTTGTAAGGACTTCCTAAGGAAGGGGTTATTATGTTGGAGTCCAACAGCAAAATCTATTCACTTTGGGAGGAGGATTAGTCATTTTTCCTCACTGCCCGGCTAAAGCAACTTAGGAAGGGAAGGTTTCGTTGGGTTCAATGAAAGGCTCAAGGGGAAAAGGTACACCACCAGCGAAGGCTTGGTGGTAGCAATGGCTAATGACTGTGGTGGTGGGAGACAGTGATGACCCTTGCTCATCCCTTCCTGCCCCCGACCCAGAAGCAAGAATCAGTGCTGGGCTACAAACTCTAAACCCTACTATCCAGTGATCCACTTCCTCCAACCAGACTCCACTTCTGGAAAGCTCCACGACTCCCCAAATAGTGCTGCCGCCGCTAGAAATCCAATGTTGAAACCCATGAACCAATGGAGGCACACTGCACATTTAAATGATGAGGGGTGGTAGGAAATGCCTGCTAACAGTGAAATGTGAGCCTTGCCTTTAAAAAAAATTCATCTACTTCAAAAGCAAAAGGCTCTTTTTCAGGGATAAGGGTGAGTTCTCATTCCTTATTCCCTCCAGGGCAAAAATTAGGTGGCCTCAGCATCCACGCTGCAGTAATTGCTGGACTATTGCATATAAATATGTCTCTTTTGTGTTTCAGGGGTAAGAAAATTTGATTGCGCATTTTGGGCTTTAGTTTGAGGATGTCTTTGCATGGTGAATTATTGGTTTTACCTTTATACAGCTATTAATCAGCATTCTCCGAACAGCTTTCTATTTATTATGATCATTGGTATTTACTGCCACTTTCAGCTGTTGCGGGGAGGTGGTCAGAGTTACTGCCAGGCTAGGGAGGAGAGCCTCTAGGGCTTTGCAAGTTTTTTGAGCGTACCTGGAAGGTCAGTGTTGCTGCCAGAGAAAGGACTCAGCAGCTGAGCTCCCCACCGCTACTGGGCAGCTCAAACCTCTCTTCTGGTCCCCTTCCTCTCTCGAACCGGGGGCACTGTAATGGCAGAGCAGACGCCAGAGGGCTGAGGGCTGGAAATTCCTCAGCCCTGTCTCCTGAACAGGGAGGCTGCTCCCTTGCCCGAGCAGCTGATTCTAACCGAGAAAGCCCAGCGACGCTGAGAAAAATGAACTGTGATGAACCATTGCTGAACTTGGCAATAGGGCTATTGATCCCCGTAGGGATGGCTTTAATGAATGGCAGTATCCTAATCCCCGTGTGAGCATCCTTGTAGTTGCGAAGGAAGTTCTCTACCGCCCTGAAATATTTTCTACTGCTGCAAGTGTTGACCTGATGTTGGACCCTCGGTTGCTGGAGGCTTTGGCGAGTATGTAAATGAGGCTGAAAGAATATTCCTTGCATGCATGCATAGTGCACATGTAGGTAATCAGATCCACCTATTTGTTGTTCTGATGTGGGGACAGACGACTGTGGAGTGAACATAGGCGTGTTTGCACTGTGCTATGCACATAAGAATCTTTGCAAAACCTTATCTGGAATCTAGGACCCAAACTACCCATGAGTCCAACTTCACACTTGGGATTTTTTTTTTCTTTTCAAACCTTAACCAGTCCTAATATAGAGAGTGAGGATCACAGGGTTTCCATCTAGAGTAGCTGAGATAATACCTCTGTGTCATTGCATAAAGAGGTGTCTGAGAGGAAGGAAGATGCCAGGCTGATGAGGCAAAATAGCGGGTTGGGTCTTACAAGTCTCATATCTGGGGCCGTTTTTTGCTACAGGTTTTAGACTCCTGGGGGAGAGGGAGGAAATGGTTAT